CTTAAAGCATTGGATCATGCTATGGAGCAGTACATAAATAGTAACAGTACAAGTAGGGAACACAATAATCACCTGTCTTGTTGCTATAAAAAGAACAACATAAGGAAGGAAGGATTTATTCTGGCTAGAGTTTGAGGGCATAGTCGATCATGTCAGAGAAGTCATTGCAGCAGGGGGGTGAGGCAACTGGTCACATGTTATCCACAGTAAGGGGTCAGAGTTAATGAGTCTTGGAGCTCAACTAGCTAGCTTGTCTGTTTTCTTCCTTCTTTCCTTTCTCCCTCCTTTACTCCCTCCCTTTCTTTCTCTTCAGTATGGGACCCACAGCACAAGGAATGGTGCCTATCAGATTTAGGGAGACTTCCCATTTCAATTAACCTGAAGTAGAGCCTTCTACCCAAACATGATCAGTGGTTTGTTTCCATGCAGATTCTAGGCCCCATCAAATTGACATTTAATATTAACAAATGGAGGTGGTAACCGTAAGGTGCTTACTCTATAGCACCCAGGGCTCCTTGAAAATCAATTATGAGACAATCCTGCTACACTGCAGCCACAGCATTCCCTGATTCTAAGGCCTGGCATTTAGGGAAAATATTTTAGTGGATTTACACTCCTAAAGAAGCACCAAAGAAGACATATGGAGCTAATGAATTACACATCCAAATGCCATCATGGTATCTTTTGACAGCAGTCTCGGATACAGTTATACAGCTGGCAAGCCTTTATCATGCAAAATACTTAAAGTCTGAATTTAAAATCTTTAAAGATGAGAATACTATAGGTTTAGCTAGGGGCCCAGAAGATGTGAGTGAGAGGTATCAAGTTTAACAAACACAATGCCACCAGCAAAATGTCAAACTCTCTTGAGTTAACAAATGAAGTCACAATCTGGCAAGAGAGGAAATAATCCGACTCCTTTTTAGACAACACATCATTGCTTCCACCCACCAAGGATTTATTGTCCTCCTGAGGCTGCAAGAATGTCCACAGTGAAAGGTGATTATGTATCATGATAGTTCACCTTTCAGCATTTGGAGCTTAGACACCAATCAGACATACAATATGGACTGGGCATCAGGTTCTAAGAGTGTGAATCCTAGAAGCCTTGAGTCATAGAGTGATGCACAATGGCTAATGGCAAAGTTTCTGGAAGCAAACCACCCAAGTTCATACCTTAGGCTCCACTTCTTTCTATTCACATGACTTTAATTGTGTGACCTTGATTTACCGTAGGTTACAGGTTTGTAAAAGGAGGAAAATACATTGCCTGGGAAGAGTTATATTGCAAACGATTTAGCACAGCATCTGCTATTCCTTATGAAATGCTAGGAAGTCAAGTGACTATTGATAAAGGGAGTACAAAGCAAGGAGCAGAAGACTAGAGATGCATCCTTAAGGTGTTGTCTTCCATCACAGGGCACCATCCATTGATAACTTCTGTTACCAATACCTACTGTGGAGGTTTTAACACTACATCCACAAATCCTTTGATATTCCTCTGCCTGGGAGACAAGGTTGCATCACTTCTTCCTTGCAAGTAGGTGGACCTCTGTGACCATTTCAACTAACATACTCTGTCATCAGTAGAAGTGACTAGTTCTATGTGCCTTATATACTGGGACACTGAGACCTACAACCATTAGCTGCTATTCAAGTATCTTAATGCTGAAATGAGCCATGTTGTTGGGAAGCTCAGTGTAGTCCATGCAGAGAGATGACAGGAAGAAAGGCAGCTTGGGCCATTACTACTGCTTCAGTCAAAACAAACATCCATTACACAAGGGTACCCAAACCAGAACCACTCAGAAAATCTCTTTCTTAACTCAAGACACTGTAATAGCACATGAAAGATGGCTGGGAAGTGGCTCTGTGGGTAAGAGTGCTTGCTATGCAGGGAAGAGGACTGAAATTCAAATGCCCAACACCATGTGTAGGCATGGTCACACATCCCAGCACTGGGGTAAGGTGAAGATAGGTAGATTCTAAGAACTTGCTGACATGTCATCCTAGCTCAAATGGAAAGCTTCAGGTTCAGTCCCGAAAAGTGAGGTGGGGACCACAGGAAGAAGACACCCAAGGACCTCCTCTGACCTCCACAGATACATGCATGGGTATAGATGCATGCACACAGGTGGCCAAAAAATTCCCTACATGACTGCTATTGCCTTAAACTATCAAATGTCAATTGATTGACTACACATAAACAGGGAAGAACACCCATAGCAAGTATATGGGCATTCATTTCCAACACACAAACTCATTTCACATCCTCACATTCATTAGGTGAGAGGATGTTGTTATTCTCATTTTAGTTCATGAGGGAAAATAAATTGTCATAGCTTATGGGTTCAATCAGGAGCATTTTTGCCTCTAGTTCTAGTGTTTTTTGTGTTTGTTTTTTTTTTTTTTTTTTACTATACCACCATCAACCCAAGGAGTGGTCAACATGAGAAAAGCAAGAAAAAAACATGAACTTTTGCATATATGGAGGTGTGAAAATGAAAAGAGACCATTCAATTCTGAGGTGCACAGAATCCAGCCTCCACTGAAACAGTATTGCTAGAGCAACAGAAATATGCAGGAATAAAATGGGTGGTGGAAGGCCACATTAGCAGAGGTGGAAAGGACACAGGGACTGAAAGGGCTGGTAGTTCTGTCACCAGCTAGCTCTATTGATAACCTGGAAATCACTGACATTTCTGGTTTGCCACTTTGGTTCTTTTGCCAAAACCTTTGCCAAGTGCTACCAACGGGATATGCATTACTAATGGGCATGTATGTATAGGTATGGCAGAGCCTCTGGCTCCATGTGCAGGGAGACAGGTCACTTTGAGACATGACAGCCTTCACATACAGGTGCAAAAGTTCTGAGAAGGACCAGAGTGCATCTAGAATACTTCTACCAAGAAGAACATTTTAAGTGTATAAAAATCAATGTGACCAATAGGTACAGAAAAAGGGAAGAAAAAAATGAATCAAAGCTAACTCTCAGAGGCAAATCAAAATACTGTAAAGTAAGGGTCAACATATTAAAGATCTAAATCAGTGTACTGTTTTGTCTTTCAAACAGTGATGTTATGTCTTCAGAGATGATTTCCAAATAGTTCCCCATTTCTCACAATCACCTAGACAGACTTTTTTTATATACCAATATTCATGAGTTTTATACTCCCATTAACTCCTCATACATTGTATGAGGTGTCATGGACAGACATTTTGGTAAAGAGTAATCTTCATGCTCAATCAAGTTTGTGAATGATACATAGGGCAGAGAGAACATTCATTAGTAACACTGTAAAACAGCTTCAAAGTGTTAGTCCATTTTCCTTGTATTTCTGGCTCCCTTGCAGCTATGTAGCTAAGGAAGCCTTTAAGCTAAGTTCTGTCCAAAAGATCTAAAAGGAACTGAGGTGTCTCAATAAAGAATTGTCTGGATTGTGTTGGCCTTTATGAATTCCATCTTAATTGAGAGCGAAAAACCCATCTTGAATATGGGCGGGCACTATTTCATGGACTGGGTGAAAAGGATAAAACCAGCTGAACATTAGAAGCAAACATTCTCTCTGCTCTTGACTGTGAATGTGTCTCCAGTTATAATCTATGACCTGAGATTGTGAGCCAAAAAAAAAAATTCTCTCTTACAGTTGCTTTTATCAGGGTAATTTTTTTTTTTTAATCACAGCAACAGAAACAAAACATAACAGCCAAGTTCTAGACACCCTCCCACTAAGGCATGCTCCAATCAGACTTGTATTAAATGTCTAGTCTAATACAATCCCAGGATCCTCTCCTTGTCATTTCTTATTTAAGGTCTCCTCTCTTGATACTAGATTTCTATACAAGTCCATCTTCATCTTCATCATTTAATAAGCCCTCACTCCATGTGGCATACAGATAGCACTGTCAGCATCATTAAATCCATTCATGGGGCAGATGCTATGGTTTAAAATGAGCTGTGACTTCAGGGTGGATAAGGCCTAATATCCTTTATTCTAGGAGGCAGCATAAGAAAACCCAGCCAGTATTATCTGTATTTAGCTAAAAAGAATACACCATAACTGAAAGCACACTAAGTATCCTTGGTATTAGCCATAGCTATAATGGCTTCCATAAGGCAAGAATCAGCCTCAGATGTTCACTGCTCAGACACCCACGAGTTCCAAGAAGTTGGGCAAAGTGATCAAGTACTCAAAGCAGAAATTACTAAGGCTGAGTTCTTATTCACCCCTGCTGCTAGAAAGCACTTTTCTAACTCATCTACACAATAAGAACCAGAAGAAGGGGAATTGAGCATGAGTGAGTGAGTGAGTGAGTGAGAGAGAGAGAGAGAGAGAGAGAGAGAGAGAGAGAGAGAGAGAGAGAGTGAGTGAGTGTGTATCTCCACATGCATGGTCTCAGTGCATATATTACAAGGGGAAAAAAGGAGGTTGAGTCCAGCAGGCACATTACAGGAAGATGGATAAGAACTGCAAGATTCCAAAGATTCACTAAGAAAGGAAGTATATTCCAGCAAGAAAGTGGCACTAAGATATGAAACCTCAAAGGGTGGCATTTGATAGGCAACATCACCTTAGTTCTGAATTGCCGAGACTGCTCATACACAGAAAAGGGAATGGGGCCAAAGTAACTGCATAATGGGGCTATATCCCTGGGTGAGCCATTCATACTACCGTGTAAAGAATTGAGTTCCCAGGATAAAGTGTGGAAACGTGAGTATTTCCTAATGAAACACAAAGAAAGCAGTGACAGGCTCTATCAGTTATGCTTGTGTGGAGTAGGCCTTCTTATCCCTGTTTATCAGATGGAGAAACTGAAACACAATGAGGTTAAAAGTCTTTTTTGCCATTCAGTAGAGTTTCTGACCAATCTACTTTTGCACTGAATTAAGAAATCCAGCTCTTTCCAGGGTCCTGGCTGTGCTTCCAGGAGGCATTTGCAGGGATGAGCAGGAACTGGGGTTCTGAGTAGCCATTTCTCTGAACGTGTATGCTCCTTACCTCACACTTCTCCACAGCTGGCTGCTGCCCACATTCAGAGCTGTTGCCTGCCACGATGCCAGCCCGCAGATTCTCACTGTCCCCTGTTCCCTCTTCCATGGAGTAGGTCTTGGAGTGGTTCCCACGACGGTGAGCAGGGCCCTGACCCTGGGCCAGGCTGAGCTGCCTGCGCAGAGAACGGTTTTCCTCTTCCACCTCTCGCACACGAACCTCCAGGCTCTCCCGCTCTCGCTGGCTGGAGGCAGTGTACCTGGGACTGTGTGCTTGGGACTCCAGGGGAGACAGAGACACAGGCTTCCCATCTAGGGGAGGAGAGACCAAGGAAGCATTAGCTTAGCAAACTTACCTCCAGGAACTTCAGCATTACCACCCCAGGTTCTTGACACAATCCCACTGCTTAGCAGGAAAGCAGATGGACTGTGAATGACAAGTCAGAACATCCATATTGAAATGGGAAAAAAAGTGAGAACAGAATGGCTTATTATGGTAATAAAAATCAAAATACTGTTTACAGAAAGACATTCCTAATACTGTTCCTAGTTAAACACAATGCCTTCCTCTCCATATAATGTGTTTGAAAGTAGACACTCTTAACAAGAAAACACGTAACATGTATGGATAAGGAGGAAAGGAAATTTTGAGATGACGAGCTTCAGAATGTAGAAGAGCTCAAAAGGAAAAGAGGGAATAAAGTGAAGTTCTTAAGGGAACTCCTAAATCAGCTTCCAAACCCTGTTTTAAAAGCATCACCTCCCAAGGGAAGCCATCCTCTGCCTGTATAATGTTGCTTATAAGTATATGATTTCAAGGCTAACCATTTGGTATTTTTTAAAATTTTCATAATCTGAGAACACCACTCCCAAAGGCAATTAGCATATCTCCTTGTATAAAGTCAATACCCAATGCATGCTGACTACTAGGAGGTCCGGATACATATACAAGACACGCTCAAAGCTTCCACTCCTTTTTGTTTGTTTCTACTCTGCTGATACTCTAGGATCTAGCCAGAAGGCAACTGTCTCAAAGGCTTCCAATCTATAACTCTCATGACTGGAGAGTGACCATCTCCCTAGCCTGCTAAAATGTGAAGGGTCCAGGAATATAGAAATATAAAATTATAAGCTTAAGAGAGGAAAGCTGACAGTCATCAGCTCTAAAGGTTAACTGCTAACAATGGCTGTCTACTTTACAGCCAGCTCCTCTGTCAACAGCCAGGGGTTAATTTTTAACCCCCTTGCCCCTTATAGCCAACAACTGCAAGGACCAACCAAAGTTAACTTTTAACTTTACAGCTAGCTGATAAGTTTTTTGTGCCTCACGGTGTTTTAGTTTTTTTACTCTTTATTTTTCTGGAATAAAATTTGCTTCTGGTTTAATAGACTGGTGATCTGTCCCCCATTATTGCAAGAACCAACAAACGCACTTCTGTTTTTACACAACCCAAGTTGTCTTCCTCAGAGCCCAGACTAGACTGAAATTCTAAACTGTACCAGCAAGGCTGTGTGGCTCACAGAGCTTGAGGGTCAAAGCTAGGGATGAATTACATACCATTACTTTCACCTGTGCTGCCCATGCTGCTTGCCTCTGCTAAGAGCATTTGATGTCCTTTATAGATAACTGCTATTTTTATTTAGCCCCTAATCACTTTAGGGTTAGCTGCATTTGCTCCTGATCCTATCAGTGCAATAAGTATGGCTTACTGAATTCCACTGCCATGAACTACAAATCAAAGGTTAAGGCAGGGGACATGAAATCACAGGTGGATCAGGGGTGCATTGTAACTGGGCTGGTTAATTACAAGCTCCCTCCCCTGCTTTTGAAATCAGCCTCCATGTTTGGTTCCACCAGGAGAATTAAACAGCACAGGACTAGGGCTGTAGCTCTGTGGAGAGTGCTTCCCTGACAAGTGTGAGGCCTTAGTCTCCTCTGATGCACCTGGCCTTAGTGAATACTCATAACCCCAGCACTTAGGAGGATCAAGAGCTCAAGGTCATCCTTAGATACACAGTTTGAGCTCCCATCTTAAGGGAGGGTAGCTAAAATAGCTTAGTGAACATGGACCCTTGAGTAGGGTAGACAAAGATGAACATCTCATTAGTAAGAGAAGGCAGATGCCCAAGGCATGCAGTGACTGAGAGGGGTTTCTTGCACATTCCATCCTACACACACAGTGCCTTAAGTATCAGAGCACAAGGCAGTGAATATGCTTATACAGACAAGGAGACTGATGCTATTAATGTTCACAGCTGGAAGCTCTCCTTGATGCCACACCTGGCTGTGACCCCACATAAGGGGCTGAGTTAAAGGTCTCTGGATGTGAGACAGCCATTTCTCTCATAAAAGAATTAGAAACATGAGCACGGAACTCAGGAAGATCTGAAGGCCCAAGATACTGAGGGACTCTGGAAACTTAGCAAAGGGAACAAGAGGTTTACTTCAATGCTCTGAGCTTATAATCCCTCCTGTGAAACAAGAACATAAAGGTAGCATAGCAACAAAGGCTGGGGGCTTGAATAAGAGGTCCAAACCAAAAAAAGGCTGTGTCTCCACCTAAGAGACACATAGGGGTGCCTACAAACCCACTCCCAAAGAGGGTAACAGAGTTGCAGATGGAATTTAACATGTTAATGTATAAGCAAGTGGTCACAAGCTTTGGCTTCTTCTGACATAATTTTGACAGAGGGTATCTCCCACCATCTTGCTCCTGGTCTTTGCTATGTCAAGGTGTACACATAGAAAAACATAGAAGGCAGGTGCATTACCAGGGCCCTTTGATTTTAACCAAATTTTAATGACATTCCTGTTGAGTCCATTTCCAGCCTGTTCTCGGGCCTGTTTGGTTTTAATTAAATTTTCTCAAAAATTTACAGATGTTTTCTTGCTTTTCAGGACTCTATCAATTTGTCACCTGTAAGTACATAGCAAAAAAAAAAAAAAAATAAAAAAAAAAAAGCAATCCTTTGGGGGGAAGAAATGATATCTAAAAGGGTAAAAATAATATCATGACCAGAACCTGGAATGGAAGATGTGCCAATAGTGGATATGAGTGTCATTTCTAGTCTGTTTTGAAGCCATATCACCTTGTCCAAGTCCCTGACCTTTTCAACTACTTTCTTCTTTTGAAAAGGAGGGAAGCTGGGTGTGGTGTCTCACGCCTTTAATTCCAGCACAGATATGGTAGATCTCCAAGAGTCTGAGGCCAGCCTGGTCTACATAGTGAGTTATAGGATGGCCAAATATACATAGTAAGTCCCTGTCTTGAAAAACAAACAAAAAGAAAACAACAAAGAAAAAGAAAAAAGGAAAGGAAAGGGAGGGGAGGAGAGGGGAGGGGAGGGGTGGGGAGTGGAGGGAAGGGAAGGGAAGGGAAGGGGAAAGGAGGGAAATGCAGACCCCTTTCAGATCTTGCTTCCTGTGCAGAGGATCCTGCAGTAACCTGACTGTGTAATCCCATCACTGAGCAAACAGATGAGTGCTAGAAGGCCCTTGTTGTTTTGCCATGCTGACAGCCTGCTCTTTTTTATTTGGATTATTTTATTTGTTCCTGATGTACTGGTTCCTAACTTTGTTCATTGAGCTTCACCAAACCTTTGTTGGGAGGTAACAAGAGTAAAGAGGAAGTCATAGGCTTGTAGTCATAGCCAGTATGTCTTATGGGTTAGATTCCATGGTCTAAGTAAACAACTGTGACCTGGTTTTCTTAAGCTATCAATTGTAAAAACACAGTTATTCCCTCTGCTATTCAACGAGCACAAACTCTTGTCTCTAACACCTTTGGGTGATATTGCGCTGCCCCACATGCAACTCTTTACTCCACCTAAACAAGTCAGTGTACACCATGCTAAACAGAACGAGTCTATGGATCACATGCTTGAAGTGTCCATGAAGTCTAACTTTTTTTGCATGTTTCTAATTGCCCAGTCTCAAATTCACATATATATGTAGCAAACTAATGCCTGCTTAGGGACTATGATGGTCAATTTCATGTGTCAACTTGACTGGGCCATTAGGTTCCTACACATTTGGCATCTTTGCTGCACTTCACAGGGATGTGAAGAAGAGACAGGGGGAAGAGTTTGTAATCTCTAGAGATAAAATATTTTACAATCTACGAAAAATACAAGTCTAATAAATCTCAAACTACCTGTTATTTAATGAGAAATTATAATAGTTCATGTTGAAGGAAGAGGGAGAGACAACAAAAGCTACCAGATAATCAAAGGAAGTGGAGAGCATGGCATTAAGAATAACTGAGATTAAACTATGGCTTCCTATTTACTAGTTAACAAACTTAAGCAAAGTACTGCATTTTTCTGTAACTCAGTGTCTCCATATGTAAATGCTGGACAGAGCTGTGGCTATATTTACATATTACCCAGCATTAGACTCAGCTAAGATTCTGAAATGTCTTTCTTCCCTCTTCCTCCAGCCTCATCCCTAACCCTAACTTTATTCCCTGCTGCCCTTCCCCCAGATTCTGTTGTTTCAATATGCAATCTATTTATACATAGTGTATCTTTCTAAGACAAAGTGTGCACATGCGTTGAGCTAGTTCAGCCCACTTTGAGTTAGAAATGTTAAACAAGACATTATTCAAAATCTCAGTTGACAACTGCTTTCTCCTCCCTCCAGAAGTTCTGAACAACCACGAACTTTATCATTGGATTTGAATCCCTGAATCCACTTGAGATGAATGCTCTGAATTAAACATCCAAGTTCAGAACAAAAAGGGAAAATTAAAAAGCAATTTCTGTGTGGTGCAATGACAGGGATTATAAGCTGCTGTCTACAATGTCCTAAATGGTAATCCCAATCAATTTGTATGTGTTGACTATCCTGCAATCTTTATGGAGAGTTTGCATGTTACATGGTATAAGATCAGTTACTCACTTGCAAATGGACACTACTGCACGACTTCCAGATTGGGCCAGACTTGGGTGTGCCTCTGAATCTTTTAGTCAGATCTTGAATATAGGTACCAAAATCCTGCACTCAGAGGCAGACTAGAAAAAAGTTGTCCTCCTGCATGGTTCTGTAGGCAATGAAGATACTATATCCTAATCTTTACATGACAAGATGTCAAATGGATGTGGCTTTGTCCTAGAAGAATCTGATTTACAAAAACTAAGGAGGAAACCAGATTTTGAAATCTTTTATGTCTAAGGTCAGTAGGACTTTGTCCTAAAACATCATATTGTTCTCCTTGGTTAATCCCCCGCCTCCAGTATCTCACTATTCTCACAGCTTCCCACATAGATCTTATGAATTAATGCCCTTCAACCTCATTTCCATGACATTGGCA